CGACTCAATCAATGAAGAAACCCACTGCAACGTTTTAATAATTAAAATAATTTTTTTAGGCCTTGATTATTGTGTGTTTTACACATCAGTAATGCAAATCACTGCCAGATGCAGACATTTAATCAATAACATTATTTTTCCATGTACTTATAATCATTAAATACTTCACATTAAGGGAAAACTAGTTTTCAGCAGCTGGCGAACTACCACAAGCATTGCAACATTAACATAATAAAACATAGCGTAAAGTTACGCCATCCTGTTACGTGCCAATTTTGGCACTTAGGGGAGAGGGGCATAGCTCCTACTGATTCTCAACCTTGGCACTAGAAGGTAGTGTGCTTTCAGCGTCACGCCCCGGCTGTGTTTTACCCCCGGAAAGGACCTCGGTACCCATTGGACAGGAGGTTATGTGGGTCCCAGAGCCGGTCTGGACGCAGAGGATAGAGGAAAAATTCTCTGCTTCTGTCGGGAATCAAATCCCGATCGCCAAGCCCAGCTACCGGGCTCACAATAAAACATATTGTATAAATGCATTTATCAGGGTTGACTTCTTTCTGTTTTACTGTGAAGTTGCAAAATTGACAACAAGGTGGCATGAACTTGTGATGCAGAAGGGACACGCCACTTACTATAGGGCCCTAAAATACGGAATGGTAATACAACTTTGAAAAATATAAATTTTGTTAAGGTAATTTTTATATATTGTGAAAAGACATGGAAATTTTAATTTGACAGCAATAGTAATGGACACCAGGGCTACGAATACGAAATTTTGTACGAAGATAAAACTATAAACATTCATACAAATTAATGCATGAAATATAGTTCACAGTCAATAATCAATAAATTTAATGGACAAAATTAGTATGTAAGGAAAAGTTCTAAAAAAATACCAACAAACTTACAATTACAAGCAATCATACCACTAAAATAAAATTCAATGGCCATCTACAAAGCGTTACCATATGCCCCAGTTTCGAGACTCTATCCTCGCCAGTTTGTAGCTTCGTCCTTGTAAATCAACCGTCTAGCTCTTATTACACTTACGTTGACATTAATGTACATCTGTCACAAAAGTGCAGTATAACTTTTCTGGTGTTTTGTACGATCTACAAACATATTAAAATGATATAATAAAAAATTGAAAGAATACCAACTATCCAGAGCCTTAATTGTAAAATACCATGTTTAACATTAATTTTGGCATCAACTCTTCTCACAATTTAATCTTTCCTGTGAATAAGAAGTGTAAATACTTCTGCATATCGACAGCGAATGTTACTCGGTTGAAATTCTTTTGTGATTTTGTCAATGTCGTGTACAAGAAGTTTTTGCAGCGTTGAAATACTAGACTTATTTCCCCTTCTTCCTGCAACAGAAAAAATTCTTGAGGTTTGAAAAACTGAAGTCGTCGTCCTGCTCACAGGAACAGAGTCTACCAGTCGAAGTAGTTTATGAGAATCCATGCGGAGAAACGTACTTGCAATCTTGTCTGTGGCCAGCTCCATTTGTTTATCACACAATTCTTAAAACTGAGAAAACAAGCAGAAGTTGAAATGTAGGAAGGGAATTTTCAAGAAGCCGAGTCCTTCAGCCGAGTTTCTCAAAATAGTGCGAAGAATCCTGAAGTTAAACCCACTGAAGAACTGCTGTATATTAAAACGAATATAAAAATAAGCAAACAAACAAACTATTAACACTATAAAAAAGACACTAGTGCCAAACGCGTTTCAACCTCAAGAGGTCATCTTCAGTGGCATCTGGGAAATTAATTCATTTAATCAAAATGGTGTAAAACTGGTTTAGAAAACAAATCATGAAGTAGAGTTGTTATGCTTGATATGTTTTTGTAAAATACTCTACTTAATGATTTGTTTTTCTAAACCATTTTTAAACCAATTTGATTAAATGAATTAATTTCCCAGATGCCACTGAAGATGACCTCTTGAAGTTGAAACGCGTATGGCACTAGTGTCCATCATAGTGTTAATAGTTGTTTGTTTACTTATTTTATATTCTAATACACTACACGGTATGCAAAGTTTTAAGAATAGTAAAACAAGACAGTCTCCGATTAATACTGATCAGTCGTTTGATGAGACGTGTTTGGTAAGCTACTTTCTCACGTCTCCGACTTCCTGTCAATGTTTTCAAAAGCCTTAGTGATGTCAATAAATGATCTATATAATCTTTCTCATTGGTTCTATACAGAGTTCACTATGACATCCACATGATTTCCAAGCTCGTGAATGATGGATCCGTTGGGATTTCAGCATTTTGCAAACATCCACGTGAAATCCTCAGAGTGTTTCCCTCTAGCGTGGTACATCTGTATTCCCTCCGGGTCATCTGCATTAATTTACTTTACATTCTTTAAGAGACGATCTCATTATTTAACTCTTCTGGCCACATAATTTTTGTTAGCATAAACTACTTTGTCTGTGTCAGTAAATTTAAAAGTGTTTTTTTAAATTTATTTTACTTTTCAGACTTCTTATAGTCCTTACAGTCAATCTATGATACAGAAAATGCAAATAGGAGTTAGTAATGTCAAATTTGAAGCTTTTACAGTTTTTAAGTGCAATGATGCCCTCTCAAGAAATCACCAGTGCAAGAACTGCAACTCCATACATACATGGTTTATAGATTGCGCGAGTGGTCGTGGCATCTAAATGTGTAAGCCGAGAGAGGGGAGTTCAGTAGTGGCGGGGGTCGCACAGCCTCAGCTGCAGTGACGCACCGATCTAAACACAGCTAGAGCTACGAACCAACCGATGCTGACACCCCTCTACATATCATTTTCAAACAAAAACAAATAAAAATTTGTACAGCCACCATGTTGTTTTATGGTCTACAAAAGTTACCTTAACCGGTCTTGCATATTTATTGAAGATATATCATCATACATCATTTCGGGACTTCATACTAAAAGACTTAGTCTCATACTCATCTCACAAGTTTATGCATTTGCCAGGATGTTAGAACTAATTGTAGGAAATCGAATGCCAAACTAGTTTAAAAATTGAAAGAAGGCATGCGCGTGCACACAAACACAGACAGAACTGTGATCTCATCAGCCTGCTTGTTTCCATAATCTTTATTGGCCATGTTCTACGCCACACTCGCAGTCCGTCTGGCCATGTGTCACAGTATCAAACTGCTAATTCACCGAACACTGGAGTTAATGTGGAGCTGGCAACTTTGTAGTATGGCGTTTAAAATTCCATATTTTCATACGATAAATACGGCAAGAGACATAACTGATGGCTGCCACTGGTTGCTTGCTGACTTCCGATCTTTTTCCTAGGGTGATATATATCATGGACTGAAGAAATATAAGTTACAAATTCCTTAATAAGATTTAAAGCTTTCACAGTGACTTTATGCATTGAAGTCTTTTGCGAGATCAGTCAAATATAGAGTTACAATTGGAACTCCATACTTTGTAAAACAAGACAGTCTCCGATTAATACTGATCAGTCGTTTGATGAGACGTGTTTGGTAAGCTACTTTCTCACGTCTCCGACTTCCTGTCAATGTTTTCAAAAGCCTTAGTGATGTCAATAAATGATCTATATAATCTTTCTCATTGGTTCTATACAGAGTTCACTATGACATCCACATGATTTCCAAGCTCGTGAATGATGGATCCGTTGGGATTTCAGCATTTTGCAAACATCCACGTGAAATCCTCAGAGTGTTTCCCTCTAGCGTGGTACATCTGTATTCCCTCCGGGTCATCTGCATTAATTTACTTTACATTCTTTAAGAGACGATCTCATTATTTAACTCTTCTGGCCACATAATTTTTGTTAGCATAAACTACTTTGTCTGTGTCAGTAAATTTAAAAGTGTTTTTTTAAATTTATTTTACTTTTCAGACTTCTTATAGTCCTTACAGTCAATCTATGATACAGAAAATGCAAATAGGAGTTAGTAATGTCAAATTTGAAGCTTTTACAGTTTTTAAGTGCAATGATGCCCTCTCAAGAAATCACCAGTGCAAGAACTGCAACTCCATACATACATGGTTTATAGATTGCGCGAGTGGTCGTGGCATCTAAATGTGTAAGCCGAGAGAGGGGAGTTCAGTAGTGGCGGGGGTCGCACAGCCTCAGCTGCAGTGACGCACCGATCTAAACACAGCTAGAGCTACGAACCAACCGATGCTGACACCCCTCTACATATCATTTTCAAACAAAAACAAATAAAAATTTGTACAGCCACCATGTTGTTTTATGGTCTACAAAAGTTACCTTAACCGGTCTTGCATATTTATTGAAGATATATCATCATACATCATTTCGGGACTTCATACTAAAAGACTTAGTCTCATACTCATCTCACAAGTTTATGCATTTGCCAGGATGTTAGAACTAATTGTAGGAAATCGAATGCCAAACTAGTTTAAAAATTGAAAGAAGGCATGCGCGTGCACACAAACACAGACAGAACTGTGATCTCATCAGCCTGCTTGTTTCCATAATCTTTATTGGCCATGTTCTACGCCACACTCGCAGTCCGTCTGGCCATGTGTCACAGTATCAAACTGCTAATTCACCGAACACTGGAGTTAATGTGGAGCTGGCAACTTTGTAGTATGGCGTTTAAAATTCCATATTTTCATACGATAAATACGGCAAGAGACATAACTGATGGCTGCCACTGGTTGCTTGCTGACTTCCGATCTTTTTCCTAGGGTGATATATATCATGGACTGAAGAAATATAAGTTACAAATTCCTTAATAAGATTTAAAGCTTTCACAGTGACTTTATGCATTGAAGTCTTTTGCGAGATCAGTCAAATATAGAGTTACAATTGGAACTCCATACTTTCATGGCATATGACCCAAGAAAACTTCATTGTATATAAATTCCTTTTTGCACATATTGCTTAAATCTAGTAAACAAATACTACACTGCAAAATACATTAAAATGTATGGTAATATATTACGAATATTTCTGGATGTGTCAGTGTGAAGAAAGCATAAGGGCTCCACAAAACTTAATACACTTTATTGCGAACAATAAAATAACATACTGCTGATGTGTTTAGTATCAATTTTAAGGCTGTACAAATATGGCAAGATCACAATTGGAGCAATACCAGCTACTTACCTACTACTTGCAAACAGTCACCGCTTGTTACGTTTATTGTAAACGCAGCTGAAGGCACGACATGTAACATAGCACTTGTTTAACTGTAAAACTTCTGTGTCTCTATCACGGTCCTGAATTTGCTACACTGCATTATCAATGTCCTGTTTGTGTTTCACTCGTTTGCAATGGTTTTCTTCTTTTCAGTACCACAAAACTGCAATACAACAAATAAATGAAAATACAAATCATCATAAAGACAGACTAATTAAGAGGAGTGTGGGGGACACCCTCCCTGATCATATGGTCCACGGACAGGATGCTGGTGTCCCGGAGTTGGATTTTGTTGGCCCAGGCTTGCGCAGTGTTTGGCCATGGAGGATTCATCTGGATGTCTTGGTGGTGTTCCTTGACCCTGGTTTTAACGGAATAGCCTGATGTAGACTTGAAAACACTTTCAGGGAATGCCGTACGCACCTGGAGTCTTGAGTCCCAAGTCGTCCTTCAGAGGCTGAAGGAAAATGAAAATCTTCCTTGAAGGGAGACCCACTGAAGAAAGTAGCTTCAACTGTAGAGAAACCTGTCTCAGTTTTCTTTCTTCCCTTTGTCAGAACCTTCACTTGTACCTCCCAGATACTCTTCAGCCATACCAAATCTGTGGGCCTCCCCCTCAGGAAGATTGCCGGTTTCCTTTCACCTGTGAAGGACAAAAGAAGTACCACTTGCACATCCATCTGGATAAATTGGCCATGGCTGAACACTGCATAAAACCTCGGTATCTCTATTTTCCTGGTTTTAATTTATTTTACCTTATTAATTACTTGATCTATATTTTCCTCCTTTCCTCCTGTTAATTTCCTTGTTCCTTCCCATCCTAATTCAACAACTTTTCAATTGGCTCCCTTGTTCTGTCTAGCCTCATTTTGATCCTCCCACCATCATCCAATGGTCTGGTCAAGTTTTGACCTTGTCAGGCCTGCTCCTACTTTTCGACCCACTTTTTTGCACACGACTTACTTTTCACCCTGATGTTAGGGGCAAGAAGCACCTCTGAATCATCAGCCAACCTCTACAAGGGTTGTTAAGAAATTATTGGGTCTCCTGGTAACACAGTATGACGCCCAGTAACCAGGTGGCTCCTGCTCCCATCCACATCCGTAAGGAAGTTACCATCTAATAAATTTTAACGACTTTCATGTGAGACTACACCAAAAGTTAAAAGACAATATTCAAATATGCCTAGTCAAAATTATGTGTAAAACAATCCGTCTGTCAAGTAAAATAAAATTATCCCCTTGTGACGGCTAATACAATTCTGGGATTTGTCAACTGTTCCGAGGGGAGTAGAAGGGTTTGGAGTGTAAAGTGGCCCATCCACGTACGAGTCCGGCTCGGATCAGGTTCCATTGAGCCAAACTCGTTTGTGGGTGGGGTGTCATGAGCCGAGTCTGCTATGCATGTGTGGTGAAATATATCTGAGCCCGGCACACGAGTCAAGCTCGCTGAGCCAGACTCGCAAGTCAGACTCGTACGTGGATGGGCCGCTTAAGTCTACAACTTGATTGGGCTCTTATGGGGCAAGCCATGTCTCATTCATCAGGAACAGGTAAGGACCAGCGGAAGCAGCAGACTCCTGTGAACATGGCACTAAAACTATTGGTTCCATAAAAGTTTGGAAATTTGACTAGCTATCAGCTTCTCACGGAGGACTTACTTTGTATATTGCTTAAAATCCGAGAACAAAAAACACTGATATAACATAATACATATTCACACACACAAAATTAATATGGCTAATTAAAAGTTTAAAATACTTTGATACTTTGATGACCCGTTCTTCAAGTGCCTGAGCATCTGCGGGTCCCAACTTTTAGTTGGCTTTGATCTATAGACAGTTGGTAGGACTCCTTGGACATGGGATCGGCCCGTCGCAAGGCCTCTACCTGTACGCAGGACAGCACAACACAGAAAGACGCGGACAAACATCTATGGCTTGACTGGGATTCGAACCCACGGTCCCCACGACCAAGCGGCAAGAGGCTCATGCCTCAGACTGAGCGGCAACTTTGATGGCAAAAGTTTAAATAAAAACTACAATAAGGTTTGTACATGTAAATATTTGTCTGATGTACTTCCTAATCAGAATTTTCTGAAACATGTTTTATCGCCATTGCTTTTTGACTTTTTTAGGATATGCCAACAGAGGGTCTAAGAAAACAAAGAGGGATTAAAATTGAAAGGGATGTATACCATAAAGAAAAATACTGAAGCTCTGTGATGTTCAAGTATGGAGGTTGGTCTAGAAGTAAACACACAGAAAACTAAGTATAATTCTATGGCTCGTCACCAGACAACAGAATTAAATAATATAAAGACAGCTACTCAATCCTTTGAATATGTGCAAATTTAGAATATGTGGGAATAAAGAATAACAACTAAAAATTGCATTCACAAACAAATGCAGAAAAGATTAATTTCAGAGAATGCAGGGAACGATTGCTAACATGCAGTTCAGAATCGTTTGTCTTCCTGTCTTATCTAAAACGCAAAGATTAAAATTAACATATTGCACTATAATGCTGTCTGCTGTTTTGCGTGGGTGTGAAACATGATCTTATGTTTATGGAAGAACACAGATTAAGGAGAACAAGGTGCTCAGAATACAGAACTTAGGAGGGATGAAGCAGCAGGATGGCAGAGAACACTCCATTCGTAATCTTCACTGAATGCTATCAGAAAGATCAAATCAAGGACGATGAGCAGATAAGAAAGCATACAAAAGTTTGGTTATGAAACCTGAAAGAGAGACCACTTGGAAGACCTAAGTGTAGTTGGTAGAATAATATTAAAATGGCTTTGGGGAAATAGGTTGGGATGGTGTGGGCTGGATTTACGTAGCTCACGATAGGGACAGGAGGAATATTGTGAACATTGTAATGAAGGTTTCATAAGAGAGCTGAGAGATTGTTAGCTTCTAAAAGTGACTTCCATGGAGTAAGTTAGTTACAGTTGAAAATGATAACTGTAAATGTAACTTACATCTCTTGGCACCAGCAAAATCATTTGATTTTTCATATCGTTTCCTTATGGCTTATTAGGGTTGTTGCGTGGAAGCTGTGGCTTATACCGGAATATAAGGAAACAGCTAGCTGCTATGAGAAGACACAGGAACCAAAATACAGTCACTGCTAGAGGAGGCATGTAGCTTGGCTGCCTTGGGTCTTGGATCAGACCAAGGTACTGAAGGGCCGCAGTTCCGTTGGGTGGGACACACGTTAATTGCACAATGATATCCTGATGCTGGACCTGACAAAGAACATGAGGAAATTAATTAAACAGCTATCTCCAGATACAATATTTTATACTGGACCCACAGTAGTAGCATGTCTACTTTTAATACAATGAGTCATTCTGCTGAATTAAATAATACATGAAGATTTCTGTCTTCTGGGTTAGTGTGCCATGTAGTCTGGTAGATGTCCACCAACGTTTCAGAGGTCCATGCTGCCTCCATCATCAGGGCAATGATTGGTTAACATCGACCAGACTACACAGAGCAACAACCCAGAAGACAGAAATCTTCATACATTATACATGCTCAGGCAGACTTTGCCGTCAACTGAAACTCACACTAATTCTGCATCCACTGTACTGAGCAAGTCATGCTTAAAGGAGATGTATTCAGACTGTACTTGATCATATTTATTTGTTATAATGACATCAACTCAGCTTTTAATAGTAAAATATAGGTACACAACTAATGATGCATGAACACATTTTAATGTCAAGGTTAATGACATCACACAGTGTAATATTATGTAACATCTAAGATGTGGAAAACAACAAAATTATGGGACTGATTATTTAGAAGAATCTTATGACCCTTCAGTTGAAATAAAGTGTTCATCATTTTACATAGTATCTGGAAGGATGGGTCTCGGTAAGCATCATGCTCCGTTATAACCATAATGTTTAAGCACATTCTTCAACCAGACATATCAGTAACCGTGATCTATTTCCTTAAACTGCCATTATCCATATTCTCCTAACCCCACAAGAACTTGTAACACAGTGTCAAGAGAATGTGTGCTCAGATCTCCCCAGGAGTCAAAATTGGAGTAACTAGCAAGGCAAGACAACCATCACCATCAAACTGCATTTTGACAAAGAAGGTATAAAGATTTCTGTCTTCTGGGTTGTTGCGCTGTGTAGTCTGGTCGATGTTAACAAACGTTTCAGAGGTCATACTGCCTCCATCGCCCTGATAACGGAGGCAGTGTGACCTCTGAGTATACATCCAAATTCAATTATCATTATTTGTATAAAATTTGTTTGAATATAATAACTGTAGAGATATCATAAACTTAATGGCGTGTGGCATGAATAAATACCAAAGTTTTTAAAATACAGCTGCCATTCATCTGAAGCAAACTGATTTTACAAGCTGGTGGAGAAATTAATAACAGCTAATTTACATTAACGAATTACCAGTTTATATCATTTTAAATTTGTGTTAATATGTCAGGAGTACCTTACAAGCTCTTTTCTCTTTTACCAGCCATAAATGGCCAGCTAAAGAAAAATGAAAATTATATTTAAATTATGTATATACAGATAAAGGAGCAGATTACAATAACATATTGGTCAGTGGTGAAAAGACGTCCTCCTACATGCCTGTGCAGGTGCATTGGGGGAGTGGAGGTATAGCTCCTACTCGTTCTTGATCTCGGCTCTAGATGGGGTGAGTGGTAAGCATCACACCCTGGCCGCGCTTTACCCCCCGGGAATGACCCTGGTACCCATTGGGTACGAGGCTGGGTGGGCCCCAGAGCTGGTCTGGACGCAGAGGCTAGAAGAAAAATCCTCTGCCCCCGTCAGGGATCGAACCCCAGTCGTCGAGCCCATAGCTAGTCACTATACTGACTGAGTTATCCCGGCTCTTATTGGTCAGTGGTACTAAGCATAATTATTTCAAGTGCTAACAATTGCTGTTACCTGTTTATTCCGGCACAGCCCAGCACTGGATACTAAAGCGTCAGGTCTGTATTCTCTGGCTATCAGTACAGGAAGTATCCACTTCACAGGAGATACAATTCCTAACCATTTACACCACACACTGAGGTCTGCAGGATGGACTGGAACTCCAGATACAAGAGCTAGACAAGTCACTAGCAGGCCTGCTAAAATTGCAGCTATGTGTTTCCATTTCAACATATAACCCAGAGCTGTTATTAACATCTGCAGAGTTAGCAGGTATACCAACATGAGGCCTGTAAAAAAAATCAAGATAAATTATAAATCTCTGTGAAGAGAAGAGTGTTATATAATATTCTTATTGAATTTGGTATACCAAAGAAGCTTGTGAGTCTAATGAAAACGCACTTAAATGAAACCTATAGTAAAATTCGAGTAGGTAAATATGTATCTAAGACATTCTTCATCAAGAACGGTCTAAAACAAGGAGATGCTTTGTCTCCCTTGCTCTTTAACTTTGCACTATAATACGCCATCAGGAAAGTCCAAGATAGGCAGGAGGGTTTGCAATTGAATGGGACACATCAGCTATTGGCATATGCTGATGATGTTAATTTATTGGGGGATGATATGAATACAATAAAGAGGAACGCAGAAGTTTTACTAGAGGCTAGTAGACAGG